CTGGCTCACTAAACCTTAAACAAAAGGCCCTCGATTAAAAAATGTTCTGGAATATATCTTGATTGCTTTCTCAGAGTTTAACTCTACAATAGAAACTGATCCAAACAAGCAACTCGTCTGTAGTCTAAAATGAACATGCTTTCCGTTCGAATAACAAATAACACTATTTATAGTATCAGAGATGAATACAGTTTAAAAAACACGCTTAATTGTTCTAGTATCTCCGGTAACGTTTTTTTTAATTTCGGTTTCCCTTCTACTTAACCTACCAAACTTAGTCGTGCCCAAGCCGGTTACTTGTCATTGCATTTGAACGGATTTAAGACAGAAACGTGAGCTGGGCTGACCTTTGAGGATTAGAGAGGAATGGAAAAAGGTAATAAACAAGAAATTTTCGCAACTGTTTTACACGTGTAGTAGTTATGGCACCAATCGGAAGGATTCGTATAAACCTCATTGAAGTCAAGTCACCTGTAGCGTAGTAATCATCTGTTCCTTAATTCTCGAACATATGTATGTTTGATTCAGTATACATAAAGTGTTGGACAACTGAATCTTTCAGCTCTTATAATCAGTTATGTTCTTGACAACATTCCCATCAAATCTTTCCTTAACATCAAAACATTATCCCGGGTTCTGGTTCACTAAACCGTAAACAAAGGGCCTTCGATTAAAAATGTTCTGGAACATATTTTGTGATTCGCAAAAAGCTTGCGTTCTCAGCGTTTCACTCTCAAATAGAAACTGGTCCAAACAAAACAACTCATCTGTAGTCTAAAATAAACATGCTTTTCCGTTCGAATAACAAATAACCCTATTTATAGTATCAGAGATGAATACAGGTAGAAAGCACGCTTTAACTGTTTTAGTGTCTCAGATAATGTTTCTTTCGGCCTCCATTCTACTTAACCAAACGAAGTTGGTCGCAGCCAAACTGGTTACTTGTTATTGCTTTTGAAATTAAAGACAGAAAAGTGAGCTGTGCTGGCCTTTGATCGCATGAGAACTAGCCGGAGAGGAATGGAAAAAGATAATACTGAAAATAATACTGAAACAAGAGATTTTCCCAACTGTTGCCTAAACTGCCGTGGAGAACTATAGTCATTTATGTCCAGCACGTAGTAATTGAATTTTTTAGGAGTGTTCAGCTGCACTATAGATTCACCGGCTTGATTGACTTTCATATTTACGCTACATCTAACTCTATGTTTTTTGGATGACTCGAACAAAGCGGTGTGACCCTTGAGGTTAAAGAAATTTTCTTGGAACACAAACCCAAATACTGACTCGCGAAACCATCAACAGCACAAGACAAAGTACCAACGAATTCAAAATTTCTCTTAAAGCTTAATATATATCTGAGGCGAAACAGCGAAAAAGCCAGTCCAAAATAAATAGTAACTTTTAACATGTCTAAGAATGATAACAGTCCATCAGAAGTTATAGATAATCACAAGGAAAATAAACGGCTTTTAAACCTGATCATGGATTAGAAACTCAATATATCGCTGTACATACTTACCTGATGACCATGAAGCAGTGCGCTGTGACCCCCACGATGAACTCAAACCACGAAACAACACATTCGCACTAATGATTCAATATAGCCTTATCATTCTATTCGGTGGCTTTTATTAACTCAGAATGGTCGAAAGGTTCACGAAAGATTAAATCTTAATAATGAATCAGAGATGACAAAAGTTGGTGAAAGGGTAACTCTATAGCCGAGTAGGTGCGCGTATTTCTTGTTAGACAAAGCCTCCAGTAAAGGCATTGAGGGGTAGTCTGGTTGTTGTCAGAATCTCTTAGTTGCTACATTACTCAGTCTCCTTTCTATTCACCGATTTTTTCTCGCCCAGGCTTCATTCTTGCGTCTATAAGCCTTTAGAGGCGTGGATTGATCTGTCAAACAAATTAATTTTGGTATGAATTTATTTAATGATTTATTTGTTTACTGTCTCCAATCGAAGCAGTTCCACAAAATGACTTATCAGATAAGCACTTAAGCTCTTCGAAACTGATTTTTCAACTGTATGAATCAAACTTTTCTATAAAGTAACATAATCTAGAAATAACCAATAAACATCTGAAGGGAGAGGGGGGAGACACCTCAGTAGGTCTTATATATATTTCTTATACATAAATTAGTTATTTCTTCATTGGGTATTTCCAATTTTACTAAACTCCAGTATTCCGCAATCCACCGTCCTCGACCGGTTTCCTTCGATCTAAATTCACATCCTTTGTGACGCTGTTGCTGAAACAAAGCCGAGTCGTTTGATTTTAAGTCGGAAAGCTCTATTGCAGCACGATCTTGTCAGTTTGCGGCTAATGTGGCTTTTTGTGAGTTGGAATTAAAAAAATCAGAGGCACAAGAACATGCAAATAGTGAAGATACTTAAAACAGGAGAGAATATAAAACATTACTGATAAAGAAATCGTTAATTGGATGGATTGCATTATTTTTTAAGTTTTAAGGGTATCTTTTTCCTTGGGATAGATTAAAGATTAAAAAGTCAACTGCTTTGGTTGATATGTTTTGTTTCTATGCCATATCACGAATGGCTTCGCCCATAACTGGTTTTGCATATGAATTGCTATTACAAACACTGATGTTCAAACGACTTGACCTTTTTACTGAGCTACAGTTTAACGTATCATTAACGAAATGATCCGTGGCTTTCGCCGCCGCAGTGTGTAAAAAAAAAAAAAAAAAAGGAAGACTAATAATTCGTATCCATTGTGCTGTTCTTGAATTCTCAAGAGGTGTATTGCCGCACCATAGACCCACAAGTTTAATTTACTCTCATCTTCACTCAAGTTTCCTCTTTCTGCCTGGCTAAAAAACCGTGCCCTGTGCCCCTTGAGGTCAGAGAAGTTGTCTTTGGACACAAACCAAAACTTGACTCACGAAACCAAAAAAGATAAATTTGTCGAGAAGCGAAACAGTTAAAACGCCACCTTAGAGTCAGTAATAACTTAAAAGTATGTCCAAGAATGAAAATAGTCCATCAGAAGCTTTAAATAGCCGCCATGAAAATAAACAGCTTTAAACTTCTTTCATCAGAAACTCAATATTAAGCGGATAAAAGAAGTTGTATTTTTTATGTTAAACTCTTCAGTCGAACTAAGTATGGGTGTAAGTTTATAATGATCTAATGGTTTAACATGCTTAATTCTTTACAATAGCTTTTTGACTGACGACTTAACTTGTAACGGGTATACTGGGCGAAAACAGGCGCGGCGATCCTCTCTTTTTATCCCGTTCTTCATTGTCATAACAAAGGCTACTGTAAAGTTTGAAACATTCCGAAAAGCACCGCCATCATCTTATTTCTCTCTTCTTCATGGAGACATCTTTTTTGAAATGCCACGCATCTGACTCCTTTTTCAAATCGGATAATTAGAATGGTTTTGTTAGCCTGATTTTTGAAATGGGACTTCTTATAGTCATTTATCTCTATGTGTATTCATTCTTATATGTATCAGATAAGATTAGTCTCGTTCCTTGAGCAATGTTAGTAGTGTCAGTGGGGACCATGTTTTCGAAAGCAATTATGATACTGCTGAACGAGCTTAAGTCTCAACCATGCTATAATTTATTCACTAAACATAGTAGGAGATGAAATGGCAATAGGTCTTAAAGATAGTGACAAGCTGAAAACTCATGTTCACTGTCTGGGGCTGCCCTCAAGACTTTCCTATCCATTCCACAAAGAAGAAAGGGAAACTTAACTGAAACCTCGAGAGGTAATTAAACGAGAATTATCAAAAAAATAAAAAAAATAAAAAATTAGCTTATTTCGTGTCAAAGCTCTATGAGTTCTTATAGACATGAAAAGTTAGACTTTATACTATATACGTCTCGATTCAGATAAAGGAAAATGAGAGTTTTGACATTTCTCGTTGAACAGAAACCAGATAAAAGTACAATGGTGAGATTTACCTAAAGTTGATCGATTTCCTCGTAAGGACCAAGATATGCCATTTTCAAAAGATCCTTGCGTCTGAAAGTAAAGATCATTGTTAGATCAGTTACAATCAGCAACCGAGCTGACTCCTCGTGAAAAGCTGTGAAAAACAATAGCGCGTTTTAAAATGTTGCTTCAGTAACAGTAAAATATGATCTTATGATATTTAGACCACTTTCTCCTGATACTCTTTAAAGCAGTTGGGAATGAGAATCGAAAAACAACTAAAAGGACCTTGGGTTGGGATGTAGACATGAAAATAGAATAGGTGAATCATAGTAATAAATCAAAAACGTATTTTTGTACTCAGCAGAGGCAAAAAGTCGATTTTAAGCCCATATCAAGGACGTTGAATAAATAAACCACTTGTCACACTTAGACTGGCTACGTTAAGATAGCGACAGATTAAATACAGCGGCCTTCCTCTCTTCTCTTCGATTAAAACCGATCATAAACTGGGATAGCTAGAACAATAACACAAAGCGAAGTGAATGTCACACAGAAAAAGGGTCAGTGAACCTGCCAAGTTTCTTCTGCCTGCAGTCTTCTATTCGCTGAATGTTAATGTTTCCTTCGCATTTTTTGTCTTAAAAGCCAAAACGGAAAAGTGAATCAGTGAGAAGAATCCACAGGGACTGCGATGATCACGAAAGACTCAAAATAACTTCGAACGTAAACAGCCCTCCTATAGAAAATTGTAACAAAAGTTACGACTATGTTTGATCTTCTAATATTTCATTTATTATTAATTTATTATTATTTACTACATGCGTGGAGAGGACAACTTAATTAAGCACCAATCGTGGATAAATTAGAGACAAATTAGAGTCAGGACACAAAATAACTTTTCGATATACTTCCATACACAGGGCCAGCTCTCTGAAGGTCAGTTTCACGTTATCCACGTTTTTCTCTAAGGGGTCATAGTTAGTCTGTGGGAACACCCTTTTGCTCTTACAAGCAAGTGGGAAGTTAGTTTCAATCAATGCGCGCTTGAGCACAGTAAGAATGAAACAGTCCAGTCTTAGCATGGCATTTGAGGTACGGCGCTCATTTTCATGTTTTCAAGTTCCTTTCAGCATGAGCGGAAGCCGTCGGCCGAATAAAGTGTGATATCAACCGAGGCCAAACGAATCACTTCGAAATAAGTGAGAGCAATTGAATCTTCTCCCAGGAAAGATCAGGAAAGTCGAGCTTCGATGAATCTTCAAATGGTATTATGAGCTATTTCACCTCGTTTTTTAGGATAAAATATTACTTGCTACCTGTTTTTCTCTCTCATTTTAGGTTCACTCGTCCGAGCTAGTGATTATGCTGCTTCTGTTATTCCTTGCTATACCTGTCCGCTCGTCCTCATCTTGTAAGTGATATCTTTGTGATCTTTAGAGTCCTCGAATACATTCCCAATAACTCTGGCTTCTGTAAATCAATGACTTCGTGAATTCCATCAGTTTTCAAAGCAGTGCCTGTACTGGAGAGCAATTTCAATCGAAAGGCTTTCGTCAGGCAAAGATATCTGAGAATTTGTGGGCGTTTTAATGGTTTAAGAGAGATGTAAATTCATCTGTTAAAATTAATCAGTTTATTGCGAAGTTAGCAAGGTATAAATTTTTAAAGAGAATATGACGATTTCTTTCCTGCCCTGCAATTTATGACTGTAATTGTTTCTTGTTTCAACTTATGAAAGTGAAACTAGCGAAGCTTGAATTGTTAAAAAATGGAACGACATCAATGGGTCTAACCTGGTTTATTTCGCTCTCTTCTCTTTAACAAATTCTCGTTGACATACAGCGCGGTTCATCCGTGATTTTCTTCCATGTTTTGACATGCTAATAGTTGTAGACATCTCTACGTTTCAAAGCGACAAATCACCCGACCCATGATTTTGTATACACTACATGATATATATGCAATGATAAATTGAATATAGTACATTAGTTGTCTAAGACGCAGCTTAAACATGCCGACGTAGTTTTATCATTCTAGCCAAATTATATTCAGCGTTTTGTTATCCCTGCGTTCTTTTTCTCTTTCATTCAATCATTACTTTTATGTTTGATCTATGTAAGTGTCCTGAATTTATCTCGAAGGAAAAATTTGAGGGGTATCACACCAACTATATAAAAAAAATTAAGTAAAACAAATTTTGACAACTAAAAATCTATTAAAAGATATCTATCCATATAAACATTAAAATGGGATGGTGCTAAGTTTCGATTAAAAAAATATTAAGAGAACTAGAGTTTACAACGTCACTTGGGAGGGTATTCCATTCAGCGATAGTTCTTAGTAAAGAAAAAAATTAAAAGCGTCTATTTTGGCCATTGGGACCTTATATTTAAAAGATGACTGCGACGTGTGCGTAGTTCATGATTGCAGGATAATAAATTTTCAAGGTTGATGTCTATTAGGTTTTTACTCAGTTTGTACATAAGAGATAATATAGCCTGTTTACGTCTTAATTGCAATGAGTCCCATCCAAGTGTTTCAATAAGATCTGTTACACTGCTTTCACGACGATAATTATTCATGAAAAATCCAGCGGCTTTCCTCTGAACCATCTCAACAGCATAGAAGTCCTTCTGGTAATATGTGTCCCACATTTCTCCTGTGTATTCCAACTTTGGACGAACAATTGATTTGTAGAGAGTTTCTTTGACATTACGAGAACTGTTCCAAAAGTTTCGTTTAACCAATCCAAGCACTTTGTTCGCGTTTCCAATGATGCCAGAAATATGTTCAGACCACTTTAAGTCCTTCCGTTAGGTAACACCAAGATAAGTTATGGAGTCCACTTGTTCGAGTATCGCTTTGCAAAACGCATAACTTCTTGTTAGGGGATGTCTTTTGTTAGAGAAACAAATAATTTTGCATTTAGATGGGTAAAAGCTCATTTCCCATTTATCCTGCCACTGCTAGAGACTAGAGAGGTCGTCCTCAAGATTGATTTTATCGGTGTCAGCAGAAATGACTAAGTAAACTAGCGCTTTTGAAAAGTTGACGCGATTTAATTCATCATAGTTCAAATCAGGGCTGCCAACTCACTCATTCATGCACACTAGTGGGAAAAGTGATTTCAAGATATGGCTAAGTTCGGATTCTTCGGTAATTAGAAAATCAGCATAATTTTTGGAATCGTTCAACATTTATAATAGGATGTTACTAAACTGTGATCAGCAGACCGCGGAAACTCCGGAACCTCCGGAATCTGAGAAACCATTAGTTTTGTAGTAGAAAAAATACCATTAAATAAAATGAAAACTAAAATTTTAACACTGTTCGAAATTTCGTTTTCGGGTGTAAAAAAGATAACTTTAAAAGAGAAATATTTTTTGTATACCTAAGCTGACGTCCAACGCAAGCTCACACAGTGAACATCTGCGAACATGCAAATTTATTCACATTTTTCAATTGGTGAAGTGTAAGAATTTGATTTGGACGCTCCGTTAACCCTAAAATTCTATCAGCATCACAGGCGATGATGTTGCTTCACGCTATTGCTCCTCATTCCAGGGCAGAATCAGTTAAAGGTTTGCTGAGAGCCTTCTATTTGCCAATTAAACCTATGTAACCTTCTTCTTGCACCCTCTTTTGTTTTCAAGGCCGCGCCGTATTTATTCAGACAGGTCATGCAGCTATACTGGTTTTACGATGGCTGGTTACTGAGGTTTATTTTGATTTTATGATGGCAGACTACTGAGATTATCGAAATCTGTATTGGTTCTCCTGAAGGACACTTTTTTGAGTTTTGTTTTTAACACACTTGAATCATATTGGTCATTTCATCTTGCCCAGTCAATATTTCTCCTTTTCTTTGTAAAGTGTGTTCAGCACCACTGGGTATGGAGAACGGACAGATAAGAGACGCTCAGATCACTGCCTCTTCTCAAAATGATGTGAACCATGCCGCAGTCCAGGGAAGGTTGAACTTCAAGGCTGGCAGAGGCAAAACAGGTGGATGGTCAGCCTTCGGAAATCATGTACATCAGTGGCTTCAGGTGGATCTTGGTAGATACAGTATTGTGACAGGAATAGCTACACAAGGGCGAAATGCCGTACCCCAGTGGGTAACCTTATATGAGCTTCAGTACAGCGAGGATGGAGTTACCTTTGTTTATTATAAAGAACCAGGGCAGAGCTCACCTAAGGTAAGCTATGCCCATAACGTAATCGTTTATCTTGTTTACGTACCTTCCATTGTTATCCTAAATCGAGTCAAGGGCTACTTTATCAACTCATCTATTTTCTCCCTAATGTCGGGTACTTTCCAGAAACGTCAATATATTTGCAAATAGCGTTTTCTGGTCTGTGCAGTAGAAAAAACTAGATTGGTACAACAATATGGTTAAGAAACATTTGTATGCCGAGGAATACAGATTGACGTAGAGTAAGACGAGGTCTAATCTTCTTTTTGCCGAATTTGTATTTTAGAGATTTATGTACCAGACCCGCCTGAGGTTAGGAAATAAGCCATTGAAAAAATCAAGCTCCGCCTTTATTAATGTCATCGTATTCAACTTTTAAGGGATCCTTTGAAAGTACGTAAAAGTTGACTTTAACATGATGAAGGAATATTCTTCATTTCGCAGAGTTATCTTTCCTTGGGTATTTTATTTATTTTTGTTGAGGATACGGTAGACCTTCAATGACCATTATAAGAATATTTATGGGTGAAAAAAAGCATTTCTATTTTAACTACAATTTACGAGAAAAAGTTTTTTAAATATTGAAACCTGTACGAATTCTTTGCATAAACGTATTTTGGAACAGCAGGGAAAGTTTGACTATTCATTTGAATAATAAAACCATTGTTATTTATGAGCATGATCCATCAAATATTTTCTTGCTCGCCCGTAATGGGTCTAAACGCATCTCTTGACCGAAAATTCCCTGGTTAAAACTGAGTACCACTTAGTACACAGTAAGCTATTCTTAAACAGTTTTCTTTTTTCACGTGCGTTGAAAATATTTAAATGATGATAAACAAAATGGCGTCTATTTTTTACGAGAATAAGCTTGTTTACTATACTCCGTACTGAGATTTACACATTTAAATGGCGCAAAAAAGTTTTCATACGCACGTTGGTTGAAGAAGCCGAGAGCTAATCAAAAAGCGCATATTGCTTTTTTTCAAGTGTGAGGAAAGTGATAGGTCCAATCAGGAGCCGCGTATTATGATTTTTACTTATGAAGCGAATCAATGCGATTCTCATTTAAACTTCACTCGCAGCGTTTCGCCTCTCGAATTGTTCGGAAAATTATTAAAATCCGCTCTCAAGGCTGTTTACTAAATAAATTACATGAAGAAGGTGACTGAGGAAGTCCTGTGGAGGATTATGTGGAATAGAAAGCATGCATAAAAGAACACGCACAAGAGAGAAAACAATGAAGAATCAAAGCGGCGAGATTTGAAACTATTCAAAGAATTGTTGCGACGAAAAGTACGAGGACTGGATTTCACAATGAAAATAAATAAGTCTGGTCCAAGAGCCAGTTAATAAACTTGTACTTTCCTTGCTTGCTCGAGCCGTATTTGGAAATTTTGGCCATGGGTCGCTTTTGTACGAATATAGCTGTGCTCGATCCGCACAACCACGACCACGGGATAATATTCCTCAAAACGACCGTCAAACTCGGTTATTAAGACGTTATTATTTCCTTAGTATCTAAAACCACACGCTAACTCCTTTTCAAAGATTTTATTAGATTCAGAGGTTTTTCTATGAATATCCGAGAAAAATATCTGAAAACAACACTCAGTTAAAAAAATTAACACGACAATTATGTCTTTTTTTTTCCTTCCAACCTGTTATACTGAAATCAGTTCCTCCGTTGGTTTCGCTCTCGCCGAACCATTGCTTTTCTGTTATAAGCTGCTTTGAGTGTCATACGTGTGGACGGACGCCTGAACTAGCATCCGTTTTTACAGAAGTTTGATCAGTTTTTCAAATAATTGCATTATTTTACTCTTCTTCCCTGAAGTTATTAATTTGTTTTTGGTCTTGTGTTATCAAACATGTTGTCTTAATGTATCTTTAGCGATTCAGTGGAAATAGAGACCAGGACAGCATTGTTTATCACAAGTTGAACCCACCAATTCAAGCTCGTTTCATCAAACTTAGACCTAAACGATGGTATGGTCATATATCCCTCAGGATGGAGCTGTACGGCTGTATAGGTATCATTTTCACCTGATGTATGCAAAATCTTTTACTTCGTTAAATGTCTGTGTCTCTCAGAGACTGACTAAAGGACTAACTGTCGGACAGACTGGACTAACTAATCACGACCGACTGATTGATGAATGGACGAACGAACGAACGAATACTTAAAATGAACAACCAACCGATTAACTGGAAGAATAACAAATTGATCGACTTATCTATTGATTGGCTGACTAAAATATGCATGTGTGCTCATTTTTTATCGCTAATTCATATCTAATCCCCTTTCCGTTTGAGTTAAAGCCGGAGGTCCCGTCTCTTGCAACTGTCAATTAATTAATCTGGCTAGGCAGGGGACGTTAAAGAACCCACATCACGAGATTACTGTGATCTGGTCTGGCCTGTTTACTGGGAATTGGTGGGAAAAGGCAACTGTAAAATTTCTTCTTTATTAACTCCAAACTGCCGCCGGCAGTCTGGAAAAGTCCCCCGCACAGTGCTGTAAAGTGCATTAGAACATTGCATGGAAATGCGCTATAGAGATTGATATTAATATTATTATTATTATTATTATTACTATTATTATTATTATACAAAACACTTAACTTGTGGCTCATTTCTTAGAAACGAAAATGGTTTTTGGGTTGGCCATATATGAGGCTTTGCAGGTGATCAAGTTGAAAATTAACAGCGATAAGCTTTTGTGGTATTTGGGATCAACTCGAGGTTTTAGAATTTTCAGTGGTGATGAAGACTTATTTAGGAACTTCAGCTGGTTGACAGAGCTTTTTGTCTCGAATTCAGTTCTTTATTTTAAGGAAATGGTGAAGGGAAATGATGTGGGGGGAAAGTGGTTGACTTTAAACAGAAAACAGACATAGCACGCTTACATACGCGATTAACTGGCTGTCCCTGGAGCATAACTTTGTCCTTAGCGGATAAAGTGTGTGTTTGCATCGCGGAAACATTCCTGTTACGATTTTCAGTTGATACTTAGGTATCCTGTCCGGGCACTGTTGCTTGAAAGAAAATAAATCGCAGAAACATAATTTTGCTCTCATCTATTAGATCATATTCACTAGAAAAAATGACTAGTTGAGCCGCTGATTAAAATAAAACAAATAAACGGAAGAGGCTGATTTATTACCTCTGTCACTGCCCTTAACATTTGTAAATCATGAGATTTTTACAGTCAAAATATCACTTTTCTCGTTTTCAGGATATATTTCTTGACATAGATACGAATGTGATCTTGCCAGCTTTAAGTTCAGCAATCATCAGCCTCAGTTTCTCATTTGCTAATAAACTTTCCTCTTTCTTACAAGGAGGAGGAATTAGGCACCTCAATATGTCGTATACGTTTCACAACTTAGATATATCAATGCTTCAACTTGTATTTTCAATTTTGTCGTACACCTTTATTCCAAAATCCACTTTTTTTAACCATTTTTCCTTGATCTGTAATCACGCCCCAAGAGACGATGTAGTTTTGACCTGAGAACTGAAACAATGGTCATTTGATTTTGAAGTCGGAAGTTATATTGTAGCACGATCCTGTTCGTTTGCAGCCTAGACAGCTGTTTCAGATTCGGAACCAATTAACGGAGACAATTACGAGGAAGAGTGACGATTCAAACTCCGACGGGGTTTAAGAAAATGAGTACCGAGAACGAAGGAGATTTTTTAGTAATTATGTTTTGTTGAAAATGTTTTTAAAGTATTTTTTTCCTCGGGGATTGGATCAAGATCAAGAGGTGAACTGCTTAGGTTGGTATGTTTGTCTTTACTTCACATCATGGATTGCGTTGCGCTGAAGATAGTTTCCGACAAAGGTAGCTCTGCATTGTGTAAAAACCAAGTCATGATTAAATGACTTTACTTCCAGCAAATTTCTGTAGACTCAAGGTATAAATTTAATTAGCTACTCAGTCAACTTATCCCCAATCTTCACAGCACTTTCATATATATTTGCTTTACACGTTATTATTTCAGAAATTAACGGAACGACTGCTCGAGCTGTGTAGAATTGGCTAGATTGCTGGGGAGTACTAATAATTTAATATGTTCATCGTGCAGCTCTTAAATTTCTCAGAAGGTGTACTGACTCACCATAAATCTACGAGTCTAATTTGCTTTCATATTCACGTCAGTCTCTTCTATCCGCGGGGCTCACGATCAAAGCTGCCACTTGACCCTCGAGGTTGAAGAAAAGGTCTTTAACACAAACCCAAACACTAACTCACGAAACCATCAACTGCAAAGACCAAGAACTAATGAAATCAAAATGTAGCGAGAAGCGAAAAAAATGAAGCGAGGTAATGAAAAATCGGGCCAAAATCAATAGTTTTTGAGCATGTATGAGAATGATAACAGTCTATCAGAAGCTATAAATAGTTACAAGGGAAAATAAACATCTTTAATCCTGATCGTTGACTAGAAATTCAATATATGTGAATACTCACATGATGAAAATGAATAAGTGAGACGTGACTCACAAGATGAGCTCAAACTGATAAACAAAACACGCACTCACAAAATTATAAAGGTCGGCACACACGAGGGGACTAGTCCCTACGACTAGTCCGTGCGACTAGTCCCGGCGACAAGTCTTTGAAGGGTTTACACGAGGGGACCGGTAGCAGGGACTAGTCCCTTAAAGTTTTCAGACGAGGGCACTCAATTGCNTTTTTTATTTTATTTTTAACAGACACAGAGTCAAATAGGGTAAAAATTCCATCAAAACGGCTCCAAGACATCTGTATATGTTTACAAAACTAGAAATAGTTTTTTATTCTTCAGTTGTAGAAATCTAGAATTCAGGGAAAATTCATAGAAACTGCAATGTTTACAAATACCGGAAGTCACGCATCATACTGACCCGTGATTGGCTTATTTACCGTTTAGTCGCAGGGACTGGTCGCACAAACAGTTCACACGAAGGGACAAACATTTGTTTCATGCGACAAGTCCCTGCGACTGGTCGCACGAATTCAAACCAGTTTGAATTCGTGCGACCAGTCGCAGGGACCAAATTTTGGTCCCTGCGACCACAGAAATGTGTAGTTCACACGAAGGGACTAGTCGCATGAAACTGGTCGCTGGGACTAGTCGCAGGGACTAGTCCCCTCGTGTGTGCCGACCTTAATGATTATGTAATAACGATTCATTCTTCTCTTCCGTGGCTTTTTATTAACTCGTAATTGTTTTAAAAGGTTAACGAAAGATGAGTTTTAGTCATACATTAGAGATGACAGAAAATGGCGAAAGGGTAACTCATAACTGAGTTATTGCATGTATTTCTGGTTAGACTAACCCTCCGCCCAAGAAATCAGTGGGTAGGCGGAATGGGGAGAGTGCAGTTGTTGTCAGAAAGGCTTAAATAACTTGTTTCACTGCTCAGTCTATATTCAGTTCACTGATTTTTACTTGTCGAGGTTTAATTTTTGCGTCAGTGTGTCTAGTGACAGGAGCTTGAGGTCGGACCTCCTTCGAAAATTGTCAGGGCCATTGAGTGATAAGTGTCTCATCGTGTGAAACCCCGATGTTCCAGTATTCCTGTAGTAACCAGGCTACTTTAATTGGAGTGTTTAATCACTCAAGTTCGTCTCAGTTCATCATCTTGATGGTCGAGCAAGATTTTCCCGTAGGATCGACGACGGAAGAGGGGATAAAATTGAGACCGTCAATCAGGGGCGCGAGCTCATAAGAAGATGCCATCCCAATGTCCTTTTACTTATACAATCTGATGACTGAGATAAATTTCTTCTGAAATAACTGACATTTTTAAGATTACTTGAATATCTTTTTCTTGAATTTCAGCATACAGTTTTGATAACAGGGTAATGAAAAGGTTCATTTAATTGAAAGATGACCTGCACTTTCTTATCCTTCCCTATGTTTAAAATCAATTTAAGAGCTCCTGATTAGATTTACTTCCCGTCTCTTGCACGGTATGCGCGCTCAAAGTACCGGGAAGATGGGATGGGAGGGGGTGGTTTTATTCAAGGAAAAAACTGGGAAAGTAAAATAAACAAAGCAAAGAGGTCACATATTCACGAGGTTGATCTGTTGCGTGACAGAAGAATCTTGTAACTATACAGATTGGCCGAGTTATTTCCTTTTTTCATTCATGTATCTTTCCAGCGCAACGACTTTAAAATATTCGCTTTCCCTTGAGCTTGACTATATTCGTTTTTACAAAATCTTCGGTGTATCAGCAATGTTTTCCATACAAAAGCGAACATGATCCGATTAAAATTTAATAACATGATTAACTTTCTTGCAGATTTGTACATCAGATTAGGGGCTTAAGTATTTTAATTACATTCTCATTATCTTCCTTATCTGTCTTAAAAATGTATTGCATGTAGCAAAGGCTATTTATAATACACAGCATTAACTGAAAACTTGGAAATAAACTTAACTTTTTTCTTATTTCACTATTTCATTTATCACTCAAAGTTACATCGGGAATTTTTTACAGATGTGAAATATCGATTGGGACATGCCATTAAAAAACAAAATACTGAATTCAATCCTTCTATGAATGAAAGCCTTCAAAAAATGTAATTAAAAAACGCTAGGATGATGGACCACACGAGGAAAAAACTTTAGCTAAGAATAAATTTAATGGATATTGTATGCACACAAGTGTTATCGTAAACATCTGTGAATAATGTTAAGAAACAGACTAAGGCTAATGCTAAGATCATACAAAATGCAGGAGCACACTGCAACACTGATTCAATTATTGAGTTACAAAAACATCCGAAAACAAAGTTCCCAATAAACCCCTCAATCGCAGAAAAGATTCGCATTCAACATCCTTTTACATTACCTCGTAAACAGGGAATAAGAATAAACAAATATCTAAGCTTTTTGCTGGCGTAATCTTGGATTAAAACAAGTTTTTTTCTTCGTCTTACAAGGAAATGTATTGTTGTTGCAATGGAGAATAAAATATCACGCGTTTATCGATGAAGAATTAGGAACCACCAGGTTGGTTGCCTTCAATGCATTATATCTTTAGCCAACCTCAGTACAACCAACCCAGGCCTGCAGCCAACCTACAGCCATCAATGAGCTTCCCACATGATCGATATGAAAACATTTGTTTACAACGGAAGACGAAACTGCATCTCATTTGTCATTAGCTCTCCCGTATATTAAAAAAAGGATGGATTGAGGCTATAAACGCTTACATTTTGAGAATGAGGCTCCAGTATAAGATGCATTGCAGAACGTGAAAAAAAATTTAGTCATCGTATCAATTATGTTTTTAATTGCATGAGTTAGCAATACTGACAAACTCAGAAGTCAGCTAACTCACTTGCCTGTTCATTTCGCATTAAAGAAGAATTCTTAAAGGCCCTATGAACGTGTGAAGCTGAACTGGGTCTGTAAAAAGATATTGAAAGTATGACTGAAAAATTAAGGCTACTTTTAAATAATGTTTTTTTTTACTTGTGTTATCTTTAAACTTAGTTACTGCCGCAAAGCGCCCTCGGTGATCACTGCAATCCCTTACAGTACAAGGATCCTCTTGTGGATAAGAGTGCTCGCTAGCTACAAATTCCTATATGCGGGAGGTTTTCCATGGATTTAGCACTGGCCAAAATGACTCTGAATTCCCTGAGAAATGCATTAGCTGGATGGTGCAGAATACCTCGGAGATCAAATTTGATAAGATAGTCCCCGTTTTCACTGAATATGCGAACTCAGTTGTCGCAGATTCAGTAAGCTCCCCGTTTCGCATTCTTGCAGCTCCCGCCCAAACGGCTTGTACTGTATCAGCGCCAGTATCCTTTCTCGAGCTGTTGTCGTCAAGTGCTTCAAAGAAGAACTCCATTCCTTCTTAAAAGAAGCTGATGCTTGCTAAAAAATCTTTCTATGATATTCCTTGTAGCTTGGTCTTCATGTCCTCGATTTTAAGCAAACTGCTGTTATGATCTCGTACATGTAATAGATCCAGCAAAAAATTGGGAAGAAATACGTTTTCAACAATCCAAAGTCCTCGACTAGTTTCCCTCCATCTGGAATCACATCCTGTGTAACGCTGCAGCCTTGAGCAGAGTTGAAACAATACTGGTTCTTTTGATTTTGAAGTCGGAAAGTTCTATTGCAGCACAATTATGTTCGTTTTCAGGTTATGTGGTTGTTCGTGAGTTGGAAGAAATTCAGAGAAACATTGAAAAACATGTAGATAATGAAAATACTTTACACAGGCGGGGGTTTAAAGAATTTATTGGATTTATTGTGTTTTTTTAGTGCGTCCAAAGTATCTTTTTCCTCGAGATAGATTAATGATTATGAGGTCAACTGATTTGGCTGATATATTTTGTTCCTACGCCATATCTTAAATGGCTTTGCACTGAAGTAGTTTTGAATTGTAATTATAAATACTAGGTGATGATCAAACGACTTTACCTTTTTCAAGTCTCCGTGGACTCAAAGTATAAATTTATTGAACAACGGTTTACTTATCATCAGCCACAACACCTTTCATATTTCCTCTCGGCGAAGGTATTTCAGAAATTAACTGTACGATCCGTGACTTTCGTCGAGTTGTGCAAAATTGGATAAACCGTTATTAAGTCTCAGGAATTTTAGGCACCACGCTCATTATCATGATTTCAAGTTCCTTTCAGTTGTCGGCAGAATAAAGGGATATGGTTTTCAATCGAAGCCAAAAGAATCACTCCGAAGCAAGTGAGAGCAGTTGAGTCTTCTACCAAGAAATATCGGAAAGGCTGAGCTTTCGACGCCACGGCTATTCAAATGGTATTGTAACTTTTTTCACTTTGCTTCTAAGATAGAACATTTGTTGCTAACCAGCTTTTTCAAACTGATTTATTCTTTCACCCATTTTAGGCTCACTCGTCTGAGCTAGTGATTACGCTGCTTCTGTCGTCCCTGACTATACCTGTCTACTCTTCCTCAGCTTGTAAGTAACAACTTTAATTTCTCCAGAGTCGTCAAATAAATGTGTATTACTCTAATCAATGACTTATGAACTCCCTCAGTTTTCGAGGTAGTGCCTGACGAGCAATTACTGTCTACTTTCGTCAGGCAAAGATACCAGGGAATTTTCAGGCTTTTTCAATTTTTTAGGATGAATGGTTTTACATCGATATGAACTAATTTGAAAATAAACTAATTTTAATGCAAAATTAGCAAGTCTTAACTCTATACTTAGGGTAGTGGTTTCTTTACTGCCTTGTAGTTTAAGACTGCAATTGTCTTTTTTTATTTTAAACTAACGAAACTGAGACTGATAAGACTAGTTTATACTGAATCATTGCGTCAAAAATGGAACGACATCAAAAGGTCTTACCCACTTTCTTCGAATGAATACCTTTATCTTTTGGTTAAAGATTATATTTTACATACAGCGAATGTCATATGCGCAAATTTCTTTCGCGTTTTGACATACTTAAAGTTGCACAAATTACCACATGAATTCGTGTACAATACATTTTATCAATGAAGGGTTAAGTAAAATAGCACACTAATTAAGACGCAGCCTAAACAAGCCGAAGTAGCTTCATCATTGAGCCATACTCTCCAGCACATTACTATATCTGCGTATAGTTATTTCCTATCCCTCTTTATTACTAATTTATACCTTTGTATTACGCAGTTCGCAGAACCACATAAGCGTAGGACTCGAAATCGAACAGTTAATCATTTATTTACAGGTGTTCCATTGAAACTTTCACACATCTTCCAGTTATCAAGCCGACTAAACATCTAGTTAGGCAGACAGGTTATCTACGGATGAAATTAATTCAAGAATTTTGGGTGGCAAATTATACCATTAAAAACATGGCGACCACTTCTTTTCGGACAAAGCACATTACCTTTTCCCGGATGTTGACGTCAAATGTAGGCACGTAATGGGAGCTACACCGGCCCCTAAATGAAATATATGCAAACTATTTCTATCCCAAAAACAATCTGCGACGAATGCGATAGTTTAGTGCGAAATGACGTGAAGCTACTTCATAACTATAACAAATATAAACTAACCGTCCGATCTTAGATGAATGTCATTAGGCGCGAGTATGAATACACCTAGTTATGTCGACGTCTAAAGTGGATCCACACAAGTCCAAGGCCTGTTGCTAGTGTCAAGTGCATGTCCAATCTTGGTCAGTTAAGTTAATTAACGTGGATTAAAGTCAGATAATGATCTGCGTCAACTGCAACTTTGGAACGCAATTTGGAAGTGTAATCACAGTTCCACATGCTTCCAAATAACTGAAGGCTTGAAAATTCAAGTAGACGGAGTTTCGTAATTGGTCGTGCGAGGGTAGTCACCGTCGTTTTCACCTCGCTCTGTATCTGGAGCTTCGCGTGGGTCATGATAGTGGAGCTTGTCTTCACTCTTGCAGAACTTACAAGCTAATCTTCACCTCGAAATTAAAAGACCTCGATAATTCGTGCAAGCGGTCACTCATTCCTCTGGGGAACGTTCTCGTTAGCTAGCAGAAAGACACTTCCCACTTTAAGAATCTCCTTTGGGTCTTTCCACTTCTCTCGTTCCTGAAGGGTCGGAATGTATTCTATAATCCACCGTCTCCAGAAGAGATTTGACATGTTTTGCGCTTGTCTCCAATGGCACCGACAGTACAGACCGTCTGGAGGCAAGCTGGAACATGGTCTCAGCTGTAACTGATGATTTAGAGTAAAGGGCTCTTCATCCATAGGATCGTCACTATTTCGAATTACTGGTCTACTATTGAGAATGTTGATCGTTTCCGTAAACACAGTGTGAAGCACTTCATCACAGATCACCTTCAACAAGGCCTTCAAGTTTTGGCGCACAGACCTTATCATTCTCTTCCAAGCTCCTCCCATATGAGTTGCTCCTGGTGGATTGAGGATCCAGTGAGTTTCTCATTCAGCGCAGATTCTATTGATCTTTTGCTGATTCCATTCTTCAATCGCCTCTTTTAACTCCCTGTCTGTTTTAGCGAAGTTGGTTTCACAGTTGCTCCTTATCTTCTCGGGGCATCCTCTCAGTCAAATAAATCTTTTCAAAGCATTGATCATGGGATTTGTATTCAATATATTTGAAATTTCAGTATGTGTGGCTCGGAATGACAAGCAGATGAAAATGCATCCATATCTTTTGACTCTACTTTTTCCCTTCTTTACTTCTATGGGGCAAAAATTGTCCACTCCGACACACATGAATGAAGGTTTGAATCAGGTGCTCTCCAGTGGTACCTTCCCTTCCTTGCAATCAACATACCTTTTCTATACACGTCGTACCACAGAGCGTCCATTTACAACCCAAAACATTTTTATCAGAGATGATAAAATGGACTCCTGGTCAATATGGCCTACACTCCTCTGGTTGCGAGATAATTAGCTTTGTTATACGGTGATCGCTGGGTAAGATGTAAGGATACTTCAAAATCTTTGTCTACAGGAGCACTCTCTAACCTCCCACCAACAGAGAGCAACCCACTTCTTAACTTTGGCTCAATTTAAATACCGAGGGACCTACTTTCTGTTGTGTCTTCTTCAACCGATTGCCTGCACCAGGCGAGATGTTGCCGAGTGCCTCAAACACCTTTGAGAAGGTCGCTTTCTGAACCTATCGGGCAATTTCCTCCTCAGCCTTCTGTAGCTCAAGTATGGTTAGTTTTCCAACCATGTCTTCTGTACTTGTTAGAGGAGTAGTGCCATTTGTTTTCTGCTTACAAACTTTGCTCTAGAGAAACTTCTTGTAGCGTAACATCCAAGCAAACGCTTTCTTCGATCTCCACCATGAGGAATAGTGATGTATCAAACATGCTACCGAATCTTCCTCGGAAGCAGTGGTGTAGATCCGGGTTTCCTTTCTAACTTGGGGATCGTTATCTTCCAAGGGGGCACTTCAATCATTGCTGACCAGAAGGGTTCTTTTTTCCAAAGGAATGCCGGCCAGAAGGCCTTTTCTTTCCAAAGGAACGCTGGACCATGTAACCACCGACTGTTCTTCATCATCTCATTCAGCCTAAATCATTTGGATACACCGTCTGCTGGGTTGTCACCTCGGTTGTCGTATCTCCAATCTGAGGTGGACGATTTGCTACAGATCAAGGTAAGGCGATTCGATTCAAAGGTGTGAAACCGCTTGGTGTCATTTTTTACTTAACTGCCTAAGAGGTTCCATGATACTTCGCATCACAATCAAAGACCACTCTGACTTTTCCTGTTTTCAAAGCGCATGCCACAGGAGACTGTGGTAGGTACCAAACTGGTCGCTCTCTCACGTCTAACTCTTCCTATGGAACTCAATGGGGACTGTCACTTAGCTAGTACTCTTGCATCGTGCTTCGGTACTTCGTAAGCGACTCTTCATCTTTAAGCAGTCGTTTCTTCAGAAGTTGTAATCTTTGTTCCGCCATTGGTTTATTGTTGGGAAGATATCGCGATTCCTTCCACCATGGCAGGGCAACTTGAAAGTGGTCATGCACCCTTTGTGGGGATCGTTCCATCTTGTTCAAGGCTTTGTTGTTTTCACTGGATGATAGAGCATCTGTTCCAACGACAGAGTCACCAAAATCGGTTTCCCAAAGTCGCTCGAGCTGGCAATGTAATATTTCATCATCATTGTCGTGTTTAACATTCTCGTTTGGCTGAAGGACATTCACATGAATTTGATGCTCTTATTCATTGCTTTTTGGGCCTTGCCCGCCACTAACAGCTTGCTCCTACCTTTATGTGACATCTGCATTTCTTTTCATTGAACCAGTTTCACCTTCAAGGCGAGTTCCATTACGCATATATTCAAACGACTCTATGTTGGGGTGGACTCCCTTTTGAGTCAACCGACTTTCCTTTGCGCAGACAAATTTCATTGAACAATTATGATCACTTTCCTGATCCTCCATTGGCCACATCACCCTCCATCCTAAGCTGCATCGGACAGTTATCGGCTCATTGTTGTGGCCACCGGATTTACACTCAAGTAGAAGGAGCAGGCCAGGATTCTCTTTCAGACCAATTAACATCATAACCTCTCCATTTCATATCATTGGATCGTAAAAAGTCACGGAGATGAGGCCAACAAGCAAGGCCCTCTGTCTTCACAATACAACTTGTAGAAATTCACTTGTCATTCACTGTTTCACATTCAACAATTCAGAAGTAGCTGATTTACCCATAGACCTCGCAACCAAATCTATGAGGAACTTTCTTTCCCCTCGGGCTGAACCCGTCATTCCAGTTAATGTGAAACTAAGTCTATCTCCCTTAAGCTTATCTTCTTTCCCTAGAATTTCATGGCACAGTGTCACCTCCGAACCATTGCTAAGCAAAGCATACATTTCAATCATCCTTTCGCTGTCTTTTCCTTGAACTTTGGCAAGCATGATTCCAAGACATACTCGGTCATACTCGGTTTTCTCAGGCCCCAGTGGCCGCCACAGTGGCCCCTCTATCATTACCAGCCTCAGTAAAATTAGGAGGCAAGGCATTTCCTTGTCTTGCTCGCGAGTTTTGTTCAGCATTAGCATTGTTTGAATCGCTTCCGTTTTTTTTAGGCCAGCTCCACTATTGGGTTCTACTCCAGTTCCTGTAGTGTAACGATGCTTAGGGTTTTTTTTTATTACATCCGCATCTAGACTTCTTGTACTTGAAATTCACTTTAGGGCTGAACCTGTCATTCCAGTAAATGTGAAACTAAGTCTATCTCCACTAAGCTTAAGATCTTTCTTTAGACTTTCGTAGCACAGTGTCACCTCTGAACCATTGTCAAGCAAAGCATACGTTTCAACCATCTTGTCGCCGCCCTTACCTTGAACTCTGACAGACATGATTTCAAGACACACTGAGTTTTTCAGGCCCCAGTGACCGCCACAGAGGCCTCTCTATCATTGCCGGCCCTAGTAACATTAGGAGGCAAGGCATTTCCTTATCTTGCACGCGAGTTTTGTTCAGCTTTAGCAT